TTCCAAACCAAATCCTACTGCAAGGCTTCATCATTGTCTATGTATCCTTATATACTGAATACTAGTACAGTTGCTTAGAATACAAAATATGGAACAGAAACTCTCGACTTCAACTTTTATGGCTGCCATAAAATTCTGCTCACCTCTCTCCAGCAGGAGGAAATTAACAATATACTTTATAAGTAGCAATTATTCAAAACAGAATGTAAGGCACTGTTGCCAAATTTAAATTGTGATTTATTATTTACTAGTTTTAAATCAAGATTATAAAAATACATTATAAATGTTACTTATACAGACATATAGGTCTAGTGTTCATTAGCACTGACTAAGCCTCCAGCTTCCTTTTTCCTCAGAATGATGCAAGAAGCCACTGCAACTATACTGTCAAGTTATGCTATTTACCGCCTCTGACTTCACTCTTTCCTCTCACATCATTTGAATTTTACCATGCTATACATAGTCACATATTATGCATATCAGATATTATTTCTATTTTAGTAACAAGATGCAGTTACAACTAGGGTGTGGTCAACATTAACTTGGAACCCAAATGTTTCATCTGGATTTTTTGATATTTTACAGGTTGATACAATAAGTACTAACCTTACATATTACTTTTCTATCTGAACTGATAAACACACCTGATGCAGCCTTCATAGTTTTATTTAATTTATTTTAGTGTAATGAACAAAGAAATCAATCACTTTCAGTTGCATAATCCCAACTACCATAACTTTGTTCAGTTTCCTAGCTCTGATTTTGGGGGCAAGGAATGTGATATTGTTCCTTATGTTTACTGTCAGGAAAGCCTCACCAAAAGAGGACTCAAGCAGGACACGTTTGAGGATGGACAAAGGGTGGAAGGAACTCTGCATGGCAGCTAAAGTTTTCTCTGTTTCGACTGTGTTCTCAATCAATTTATAGAAATTGAATAAATAAATATGTAAATCATGAAATATCAACTCAGAACTTCTCAGGCCCACATTCCTGGGGTGTAGCCACAAATCAGTTGGAGAAAGTTTTCCTCTCCTTCTTGAGGTACTATAAAATGAATACCATATTATTATATTTTCCATAGGAAGGAAACTAAGGGCTCATTTCCAGATTCAACTATAATGAAATATAGGTAGTCCTTGACTTACAAACATTCATTTAGTGGCCATTCAAAGTTACAACAGCACTGAAAAGAGTGACTTATGACCATTTTTCACACTTAGGACCAGTGCTATTTTTCTTAAAAAAAAAAAAAAAAAAAAAGCTGCCGGAACTCACACGGATCATACAACCTGCCTTGCCTACCCTACAAGGTTCCATCCAAAAAAGGTGCCGGAACTCCGTTCTGGGCATTCTATGAGAAAAAAAAGCCCTGCTTATGACTGTTGCAGCATCCCCATAGTTCCGTGATCAAAATTCCGATGCTTGGCAACTGGCTCATGTTTATGACAGTTGCCGTGTCCTGGGGTCCTATGATCACCTTTTGTAAACTTCTGACAAGCAAAGTCAACGGGGAAGCCAGATTCACTTAACAACTGTGTTACTAATTTAACATCTGCAACGACTCATTTAACAATTGCAGCAAGAAAGGTCATAAAATGGGGCAAAACCCCTTTAACTGTCTCACTTAGCAACATAAATTTTGGGCTCAATTGTGGATGTAAGTCGAGGACTACCTGAAAAAGGAAAACAAACCACATGTAATGAGAGATGAAAATGGTTGAACTTTACCTCAGTACTGGCATCAAGTTTTTAATTCTGGTTTACTATTTCTAGAGTAAAAAAAACTTCCCATACAATCAGTTCTTCATCTTACATGTTGGATCTTAGTTCTCATGAACAGAATAGTATTGTTATAAAGTTATTTTACCAGTTCAGATCAAAAGGCCTGAGAAAATATATAAATGGAAAATACCTGAAATGTCACAGGTCCGCTTGTTCCTTGGTGAGAATGTTGGTAATACACTGTGTCGGTAGACAATATGTGGCTTTTTATACTCTTCTTCATATTCTTGTTGATCAGGTGATATGAGTGGCTCTACAAAGTATTCTTCATCATGAGACCTAAATGTGCCTAACTGAGAAGGAATGAGAGACACATCACATAACTTTCAATGGAGCTGTGCTTAAAAATAAAAAAAAAAAATAAAGCCATGAAAGATTTATAAATCTTCTGCTGAGAACTGTAACTGTTTCTTAGACCCACAAGGCTGTTTTCTGGTTTTGTTTTACATGCTTTATCATTCCTAAGCTTCCTGAATGTCAGCCCTGTTTGGGGCCAAGGTAAAGGCTACACTCAAAAAAAATCAGATGAAGCCACAAAATTACTTTTATTTCCCCATGAAAATTAAATCAAGTACATTCAAGTTGATATAATTGCTCCCATACGTGTAATAATTTTCCCTTTGGATGACAAGAAAATTATAATTTGATAGCAACTTTAGGAAGGCTCACACGCGGTTTGGAAGTAGTTTATAGCTTTGGGGGCTGCATATTGTTGTCTAACCAAGTAAAACACATGTCTAGCTGTGGTTCCTTGAATGTACAGTACACTCAGTTGCCAACCTGAGTTGACCTCTACTTAAAATAGGTTGCAGCGCTTGGTCAAATTTGGACGTGCAAGTTTGATTAGTACTTTCACTGGAGATTTTCAGAGAGGTATAATATCAGCCTGGGAAACTGAAGATCTCAACTGGAGGAATGCAATGGCAAACCACTTTTATACTGCTGGATAGTTAGCTTAATGGATCTGTCCATGAAGTCAACAGCAACCAAGCACAATCTGAAGGAGAAACAATGTTTTTTAATGCCAGCAATACTACCTTCCAGTCACTACAATTTCCCGGAACGGGACAATTCGGGCACAGCCAACTCACCACGCCAATTCACCACAGTCAATTTTCCAGGCCAACTCGCTGTGGGACAACTCACCACAGCCAACTCACCATGGGGCAGCTTGCTGCAGGACAATTCAACAATTCAATTTAATTATTTAAAATATTTACAAAACTATTTTAATTTTTGTCATTCACATTTCATTTTGTCCCTCCTTTGGCATCCTTTCTTTAATGATTCTATTCCACCATTTCTTCGGTATTAGTATAACTCTTGTCGTATGGCGAGTTGTCCCGCAGTGAGTTGGCCATGGCGAGTTGCTATAAACACACAACCCCCCTGCAGTATGGTCAACAAATCTGGAGAATGGTTGGCATAATTGATGAAACAGTTTTAAACTAATTTAGACAGTATACTAGATAAACCACTTTCATGACTCTCTGTCAGATTCAGAATTTTTGATGGATTTACCTCTTTAAATTTTGGGAACCAGTCACTTAATATGCCACAGTGATGCAACCAGAGAAAGCAACAACCAAAAGGGGCATTTGCTTTTAGTCAGTCAGTCTTGTCTTCAACCTGCCTCCCAAATTAGTTGCCCATCCAATTTCTTGGAAAGGACTTTGGTCTGGTGCAGGGGTAGGCAACCTTGGCTCTTTTATGACTCGTGGACTTCAACTCCCAGAATTCCTGGCTCAGGAATTCTGGGAGTTGAAGTCCACGAGTCATAAAAGAGCCAAGGTTGCCTACCCCTGGTCTGGTGGTTAAAGCACCAGCTGGGAAACCAGGTGACTGTGAGTTCTAGTTCTGCCTTACACATGAAAGCCAGCTGGGTGACATTGGACCAGTCATTCTATCTTAGCCCAACCCACCTCATAGGGTTGTTGTGAGGAAAATAGGAAGAGGAATGGATATTATGTATATTCCCCAGCTTGAATTATACAAATACTAAAAGAGGAAAATAAATAAAGTAGAAATTAACCTGGAGACCCAAGTTGAGGCAGCATAATTGTAGCTGACCCCTTCACATCTTTCACCAAAGCATCAGGCCAATATCTCACAAACACAAGTTCAGGACTGTGTGTAACACAAAATACAGACTCTGAGGAAAAGGGATGCTTTTACTTTACAGATAGAACTCTTCTTCCAAGAGTTTCCTTGATAAAAAAAAAATAGAAGATACTAGCCCAGTGATGGCGAACCTTTTAGAGACCGAGTGCCCAAACTGCAACCCAAAACCCACTTATTTATCACCAGGTGTCAGGTGGGCATGGCCCACTGGATGGGCCTGGCTGTGGTGGTCATGGCAGATTGGGTGGTGTGGCCAAAGTCGGGGTGATCCCCTCAATGTTGCTCATGGAGAGGGATGCCTGTAGGGGACAGGCAGTGTTGGGGGAGATCCAGGGGGGTCTCTGGCAGGTGGGGCGGTGGGCAGGAGGCTCGTCCTGTGGGATGAGGCAAGGCAAGGCAAGGTGAGGCAGGGTGGGGGTGCCATTGTCACAGGGCAAGGTGAGGCAGGGGCCGGGGCGGCTGCTGCCTGACACCATTGGCCCCCGCACACAGAGGCCAACGAGCGCATGGGTGCTGGGATGCATCCAGCCACATGGGACCTCGGCGAGTTAGCGGGCGGCTGGTTGAAGAGGGATGGTTGCCATCTCCGGGGCATGGCGCGCGTGCCCACAGAGAGAGCTTTGAGTGCCACCTCTGGCACGTGTGCCATAGGTTCGCCACCACTGTACTAGTCTGTCTAGAATTTAAAAAAAAACACCTTCTCCTTTCACTCTAATAAAAATTAGAAAGATGCACTGGGTATTTCTGCACAAAACTCAGAAACGCAGACCTTAAAAAAATGCTCTAAACATCCTATAAATGCAGGAGGGCACCGTCTGCCATACTGTATATGCTAAAGTCAGATGCTGTATACAGGGCTTTGCCTTCCCCACATTCCAGGGGTTACTTCCAAGTTTTGGGGAGGGTTCCTCCTGCCATCTGCCACAATTCATTTTGGACTCTCTCTGGACAGCCTTCTCTTCTTTCCACCTTAAGTCCTCTCCATAAAAAAAGCCTGGCCTCCCTTAAGGTTGACCTTCCATGAAAGCAAATGCCAAATCTTAGAGTGCCTTATCTACCAGGAAGTGGGTGTCAACTGTTTTCCTTCTCAGCTTAAACCCAGGCTTGCAATCTTCGCCTGGAGGGCTGGAAAAACACACTCCCACCAGCTCCGTTGGTTCCCTTTGGAGAACTCTGGGGCGGTATCGGCCCTCCTCCTCCTCTACTGCCGCACCCACCAAACATCAGAACATCACAATAACAACAACAAGCCCAGAAAGTGACCCATCACAGTACAAACTGAAAGAAGACAAGATGGTTTGGGGGTGGAGACTGGGGGCTCTTCATTCCTGCAGCCCCTTCCCCTTTGATGTAGGGCACTGCCACTGGACAGTTCGGCCTGGCTGGTAAGTATAGCTAAACTCAGCTGCTTGCATCCCTTTTTGGGGGGAATACCGAGGAAGGAAAGAAGAGCCTAGCCCCCTCATCCCTCCCATCCCAATTATATTTGCAGAACAGATCTTGAAAATCTATTATAGGAAACCAAACCGCTACTTCTTCATCACTCAGTGCAGACAGCTACAAAACTGTGATTTTTTTTTTCCTCTCCACAACAAATTTTTAGCTGCTAAGAGCATAAGTTCTCAAGCGGAAGGGGAGAAAAATCAAATTACTGATTTGGCGCTTTGAAAGCCTCCCCTTTACTCTTCCCCTCGATTGCTTCACTTTCAAACTATTTCACTGTTCCAGGGGTGGTGGGAATGGTTCCTCAGGCCAAATGTATTCATGCTGACAATTCCGTGCCTTTTTCAAATCCCAGGCCATTAAACGGGAGCTTTACTGAGGATAGCAAACCGACTGGCTCTTAGCAATGCAATGGCACTCAAATCTGCCTGGAATAAACTTTCGTCCCTAGGGGGAGTGAGGGAGAAGGAATCAATTACGCAGTTTCTGTTTGTCTCCCTCCACCTTAAATGTCTCTGGGGCCTCCAAGTGCCACCCTTGTTTGCGGTTCAGACTCAAATGCTCTCCACCAACCCACTCAGCGGCCCCCTCTTCCCAAAAGCCACCTGGGGTAAACCCCACCTCCTTGCTTTCACTCCCCTGGCAAACTGTTCCACATTAGAGTTTCCTGGATGTTAAGATGTTGAAAGTCTTCAGGGGCACAGCTGTTGCCAAGAGCACAAAACAATGCTCCCAAACTACCTGTCTGGGATGACCCTTAGCGGGAAAAGTATAGAAATGGTTCATGGCTACTGCATGTTCCTGGCACCTCCCAGGACTTCCCTCCCTTCTTCTCCCCCTCCCATCAATCAAAGTGAGAGCTCCTTAAAAGCAAAGCCTTTGATTCTTGAGGTTTTGCCATATACTCCAGTAACGATTTCTTAAGTTTTCTGCCACTAGATTGAAGTTATTTATAATCTAAAAGAAAGAAAGTGGCTAGGCAGGAGGGAAGGAACCCAGAAAAGAAATGCACCCTGTTGTAGTGTTGATCAGCACAACTTTGAAGAAAGTTTTGCTTTGTTTTCAAGTTTTGTTGCAATCGAAACCAAGAATGCTGTGAAGAAGGCAAGAATGGAAAGATGTTTAAAAACACACACAATGTCCTTCCAACTCTCCTAGCAAGATCCAAAGCTGGGAATTGAGGTCTTTTCTTTAAGAAGCTGTTGATTTGCATCCTGTAAGCAAAACCCTGAATTCAGCAAGAGGATTATACACTTACCATCCCAGAACACAGGCTTATGACTGCTGTATGCTGGGGCTCCGTGTTGACATGTCCTTTATAGAAACAGTGCTTAATATCACTTTCCTCCTCGGCATAAAAGTTTGTTTGGTTAACCTCGGGTTGTCCAAGGAAGGTGACCGTGAAAAGAGGGGCAATAAATCCCGAATGGGCTGTAAGGTTGAAAACGAAGTGCCGCCCAAAGGCTTGCAGTCTATAATGCACTTGGGTGGTACTGAAAGAAGAGGAGGCAATGGAAGAAGAGGGAGCATCCAGGATCCAGGGCTCAGCTTCCGAATGAAGGCTTCGCTTCTTTCTCTGAAAGTGCACCTTTGTAGGCAACGGTTCCCCAAGCTCATTCACACGGGTCGGGATCACAATCTCGTACTCTCTCAGCGTCTCCAACAGTTTGGCTGTGAAAATTTGACATAGGTGCCCATGAATGGATACGGGGTGTGGGTGTGCGCACGCATGCGCAAACTATTTAACAATACTTTTTACCGTGCTGGTCCAATAGGAAGATTAATTCAGCCAGTCATGAAGGAATATTCTTGTCAGAACCGATTGGAAAGCCCTACTAAACTTTATCTAGCCAGCATCCAAATTAAACACCTTCCTTACCACCCAACTCAGTTCTACAATACTCCCAAAGTTGGCTAGTCTGCACACAGTCACACAGGTGAAAAGCTGGCAGCTTAGAAACTGGCAGCAAAGGATGCTGAATTCATTTTTTTAGCCTTTATGTAACCAAGCTAAACACTGCAAATAGTACACACAATCAGCAGCATTTACAGAATAAAAAGAAACCCAGTTAGGACCCGCAACTACTCTTCCCAAAACGGCCCCCTGCAGCATTACAGGTATGAATACAATACCTGTTCACTATTAATATACGATCAACTCATTACGATAGAAAATAAGGTGTTTTTCTTTTAAATGCTTTGCAAAAAGCTTCTCAGACTCTCAGAAAATACTGTCACCAATAAGAGTTTTGAACTGTGCCCCCGGGCATAATTTGATATTTTAAATTTTTTGTTAGCTTTAATGCAAAAGGCCAAAACGTCAAGAGACAGATAAAACAGATATGCTTGCAGTTATGCATAGTGAACGTGTTTTTGTCTCCCCACCCCCCCCCCACCCCGGAGTGGCAAGAGGACACTTGGGGACTCCCTAATCGGTGCTTTCCTAGGACATGCACGAGAGCCACCATGAATAAAATTAGCATACATTTGTAGGCGGAGCTGCTGGAAGACCGGAGAACTCCACGGATTTATGGTATAACACCGCTTTCTGAGCTTTGCCATTTTCCTTCCCTGCGGCAGTGTAAGGGGAAGGGGGGGGGGGAGAAAAAAAAAACAACCCAAACCCTGACCTCACACAAAGTTAACGCCAAACTCGCTCGTTCGCTCTCTTTCCGACACTTCTGCGCGCTGCTCTTGCGACTTTTCTTAGTCCTGCCAAGCATCTTACCTTGTCGGAGATGCCTCCCTTGCTTTCTGGCTGCTGTTGCTGCTGCTGCGCCGGCTCTATTCAAGAAGTCTTGCAGGAGTAGCGTGCTTAACCCTACCGCCCATAACACCAGCTGCATGGTGGTTTGTGCCGCTTCGTTGCAGCGATCAAGCTTTCCACCCCCCTTGGTCCCCCCCCCAAAAGTCCTCCCTTCTAGTTGCTTGGGGAGGGGGGGCGGAGAGGGGAGGAGAGGTGGTTTATTGTCAAAACTCCCGAGATCTTTTCTCCCCTCCTCCTCCTCCTCCCCCCCACACCGCCTTCCTCGACTTCACTTTTATTAAACTTGAGGATCGCGCTCATCTAATTGGGGTTCTCGGGATTCGGCTGTGGCGAGAACTGTCCGCCCTGGAGCCAGTCGATCGAGAGGAGAAAAAGGAGTCGAGCTCGGGAGAGGATAAACACCAGCATCGTGCTTTTTAGCGAGCGAGCGAGAGAGAGAGAGAGGGGCTGGTGGAGGGACGGAGAAAAATCAGCCCCACTAGCTGCGGCTCCCTCTTCGCCCTCCGCCTCCTCCCCCCCGTTTCTCCGCCGCACTTCAGGGTCCTTGGAAAGTCTTAGGATACCGAGGAGGCGGGATCCGAGAGTTCCCGCCTCCCGGGAAGGAGGGGACAAAAGGCGGGAGAAGGTGGGGAAGGTAGCGCGCTTGTCTCTTGCTTGCCGCTCGGCCGGAGGGGTTGCTCGATGGCGGAGGCCGCGGAGTTTTGGGGTTGGGAAGTTCATGCCGGCCTTCCGTGGCGGGTAGGCCAAGGCCAAGCCGCCGCCGCGTCTTTCTCCCTCTTCAATCTTCTTCCAGAAGGGATCCTTTCCCAATTAACGCCCGGGGCACGCTGGCAGGGACAAGGCAGCGGCCCGAAGGGGCAACGCGTAACTTTTTTTTGCAAAGGACTCGTAACGGTGACCCCTTCGCTTTTCGCCAGGCTTTTGCCGTTAGAATTTTGCCTCCTGAAATCCGCCTGTTTGTGCTCTGGACACTCTGAAGGTTAGGCGCTAGTCGGCTAAGCTTGCCTCAGTTTAGCTTCCTGTTCGATAAAAAATTAACCTGGGACAATCGAGCATCTTAATATTTTCTGTGAAGTGCCCTTTTTCTTTCCGAGACATAAAAAGGAAAATGGATCACCAGCCAGTGGAAAAAATCCTGTCTGTGCTCTTCTTAAGAAATAATTTAATACACCACTACCACCCTTTTGAAATTTTACTTGTATTATTTTAGCGTTCTTTTGGACAGAGTAATTTAAACCTCGGGGTTTTTTTCCTGCAGGTTTATTTAGACATAAACTATTGCGGGGGGGGGGGGGAGAGAAGAAATTACTGATGTTATCTTTTTTTATTTGTATGTTTCACTTGGATGTAGGCTTCATTGAATTCAATATCTTTTCAGGAAAAAAAATGTAGGACTGACCATATAGCATCCCAGAATCAGTGCAACTGAATATATTCAGCAGATAAACCCATGTCTAGAAAAATAATTGGGAATGTATTTCTGGGGACATCAGAGCTTCTTTGCCTTTCCTATACCCCAACTGGCCTCTAACCCAAGATTATAACAGACACAGGCAAAGACTGATTTTCTGGACAACTGATATCTCATGTAAACAAAAAAGTAAATTTCACTGCTTGAAATGTGAGTTACTCATGTATAAAGATGGAGGCAGTACCCCACCTTCTAATAAATTATAATAAAGCCAGGATGAGAACAGCTTACATGCTCATCTGCACTATAAAAAAAGTTTAATGTACTAATGTGGGACAAAGCCACCAACACCTCCCTGGCTTAAATTAACTAATAATTCCCTTTCAATTGTTCTTTCGAAAGACTGCTATATGCGTAGCAGCCGACCTGATCTTGCAGAAGATATTTAGGCCTGTGTATTATGCAGATACCTTTACTTAGGTAGTCTGGCAATGTCCGTGCAAATGTGGCCATCCAGTCTCCCTTAAATCCTAAGCTCAAAGGACCAGAGAGAATGGCCTGTGCCCAGTGGCGTGGTGGGGAGGAATGACTTCAATAGCCAGTAGGAGTTGGGCAGATCCCAGTCCCTGATCATGCCACTGCCAGCATTTCAACAAGACATCAATTGTACAGCACGTTTTGTGTTGGGAGAAGAAGGGGAAAAGCTCTGTAATAGCAAAGGAACGAAAGAAAGACTATTCAGGGTCTCTCTGCAGTAGGTTAAAGGATGAGACAGAAGCAACGTCAGGGGTACAGCTCTTGTAAAAATGCTTACTGAGGTGTTTTTGTGCCACAGCAAGTAGGATCAGTCCTTGGTTAACCATAACAATTCCTATAAAATAAATACCAGCAGTGTAAACATTAAAATGATGACATCCATCTCTGCTGCATTAAAGTTACAATGAAGTAATTACAGGACTTGCTTCATTTGCAAATAACCATAGTACAAACTTGCCTGGACATCTTTTTTCTGTGTTTCATAGTGCGTCTCATCTTTAACCCATGAGCAAGACAATCTTGAGCTGTCCTTAGCTGCACTGGTGTTAAAGTAATATGTGCCATTTTATTCCAACATTGCCCAAGGGTAAGTCAAAGACACGGAAAATCTGATAATTGTTGTTATCTATCACCTTGGAGGCACCTGAGCTGACTGCCATCAACAGAAGTAGAGCTAGCGGGGTGTGTGTGTGTGTGTGTGACAATTAGGAAAGCAGGTACAGTTTTTTGTTATAAGGAACAGGAGGATAACCCTTCAGTTCAGCTGTGGGGAAAGGCCATAGAGTGATATTTATTTATTTATTTATGAGACTTATATACTGCTTTAAGTGCAAGCACTCTCTAAGTGGTGTACACCAGTAAGCAATGTATATATATATATTTACATTGCCCTCAACAATCTGGATCCTCATTTTACCTACCTCGGAAGGATGGAAGGCTGAGTCAATGAATTATACAGGATTTAATAAATACGTTCTCATTTCTTTTTGGTGACTTTGAGTCAGTGTTGACTCCTGGTGACTACCTGGACAAGTCCTTGCAGTTTTCTTTACAAGATTTGAGGTAGTTTGTCCCTGCCTTCTTCCTAGGACTAAGCGATAGGGACTGGCCAGGTTCACTGGCTTCGTCTCTAGGACAGAACTAGAACTCTTGGTTTATAGCTTGGTGTCTACACTAAACTGGTTCTTTATTCTCATCTAATTTCAGGATGGAACTAGGATTAAAAATAAAACTCTTAAATGAACCTTAAATGTTATTCATTTTATTTGGAATTTTTCTCTGGTGTACCTATACCAAGTACATTCAGTCTCTTCAGAAAAGCCCTTGAGGTGGCTAGAAGGAAAGCAATATGCCAAAAATCAAGGTTTGAATTTAGCACTTTTAACAACTTTCATTGTAATCTAATAATACCTGTTATTACACCAGTGCTGTCTACACAACAGCCTTTGATCGGCAAGTCAACTAATTTGATTAACTCTTCTAACCAAGTGTTTCTCAACCTTGGCAACTTGGACTTAAACTTGAATGGTTCTGCAGCCAGCATGTTGGGGGAATTCTGGGAGTTGAAGTCCACACACATCTTCAATTGCCAAGGTTGAGAAACACTGTTCTAACTGATGGTTCAGGCAATATGACTCACTTTCTCCTGGAAGTGCTTGCTATCTCATGAATACTTGCACCGTATAGTATCTTTACAAATACAACTGGTTCACTGTTGCTCAGCGGATGGAAGTAGGTATGGCTTTGGTGCTACAGCCAACCAGTGTTTGGAAACGAAAGGTTTTTTGCAGTGAAGTCCAAGGTGGAAAAGCTGGGCTTCAAAGCTGCACTATAACTGCTCTGAGTCGCTTCAAACAGTCAGATGGATGGCAAATAAATTTAATAATAATAAGAAGAAGAAACAGCAGACTACCGGGTTAGCTGCTGCAGAAAGGTTGCACAGACTGACCACAACTGCACAACAAAGTCATAATAACGGTGCATTGGAAGATCTGCAAGAAATATAATTTGCCTACAAGAACTAGTGGGACCATGAAGTACAGAAAGTAATAGAAAATGAAGCTAAAGTGCTGGGGGAGTTTAGAAATCAAATAGGCACCTGCCACATAACACCCCAGACTTAACAATTGTTGACAAAGACAAAAAAGTCTAGATAGTGGATGTGGCATACTTGGAGACAGCAGAATAGAAGAGAAAGAACTGGATAAGATAACAAAATACAAAGACCTGCGAATAGAAACAGAAGGACTGTGGCAAAAGAAAGCAAAGGTAGCACCAATAGTAATAGGCACCTTGGTTCTAATCCTGAAACAATTGGAGCACCACTTGAACACCACTGGCATTGACAAAATTACCGGTCAATTGTAAAAGGCAGCTTTACTTATTTCTGGTTATTTTTTAATGGTTTCGTTAAAGAACATTAAGTTTCCCATACTATGGAAAGCCATAACATGGGTTAATTTGGAAACAGGTTACACTCTTTTTTCTTAATAGGATTGACTGGACAGAATTTAGAAAGCACCCCGCTTTTAAATAGAATATAGCATTCACACAATGCAATTTATCAAATGACGCTAGCCTAACACATTCACCTAAACCTGGAGCTGTCTAATATTAAATGTAATCTTTTCCCACATCACTGCTGATTGAATTACAGTGTTTGCACAATATGCTAATCTCACCATTGGCAATCAGGACCTGGGCCACAAAATAATTACATATTTTCGAAGTCATTCTCTTCTGCAACAAATCATTAAACAATCTTAGCTCACCTTAAAATATAATGCACCTGTTTACTAAAATAAATGGGCTCCAGTTATAAAAGCTTATGCTACAATAAAAGTTACTGTTGCATGTCCCCAGATCTCCCCCCCCAGATATTCAAAGCATCTCGTGAAATAAAAAGACATACAGTATGTTAGTCATAGCAAGCTCTGCTCTTCAGTGCTTTCTTTGTTTTTCTGATTGTTAACCTACTGTTCCCCTCCTGCAATTTTATACCCACAAAAATGACCTTGTGAGGTTAGTTAGGCTGAGATGAGGGACTGGGTCAGCATCCTTTGGTGAGCCTATTGGTTCACATAGAGTCTATTCATATCCAATTTGACATCCATAGTATTTATTCTGGGCAGTCAGAAAGACTGAATTATAGAGCCAGATAATATACACTGCAGATAATAGAACACACTTATACACTACAAAATTGTACACAGTAGATTGTACGGTTAATAAGTAGCAAGTTGAAAAGTGCAATACTGGTCTTTCATCTACACTCCACAGCACATGGGATCTAAAGTTTAAGCCATTAAAATTAAATACTTTTAAAGTCTATTTAGTTTAGTACGAGTGTTAATGACAGATTTTTACCAAAAAACACCCTACTTTATACAAAAAATGCAATTGACTTAAGCAGAACTTGTTATTGTTATGTTTTAGATTACAGCCTTAAGCACAGGCTTAATATCTCCAACTAATATATATGATTCTAAAATGTCAAATTTGATTGTGTTAATGGCACTATGTAATAATTTTAAGCTTTTATGGTAAATGTCTCCTTAATTGTTTAGCATTTTTTTCCTTTAAAAACAGATTTAGTGTTTTTATTTAGAGGATGTGTATCCTATATTTTCACCAATAGGTGGCGCTCAAGGTAGCTAACAAGATAAATTTAAACTATACAGTACAGTATAACTAAAAGCATACATTAAAAGACATTGAGATATACCATAACTTGAAAAATGCTAACTTTATCAGCCAATCCTTGACTACATATGAAAAAAGTGCTTATTTTTTTTACCCTGCCAATAGAGGACCACAGTTAGCTTCAGCAGCCATGTCTTGATGGAAAAACTGACAGAGTAATTTCCTAAAAATCTTAACACCTGGGCAGGTTATCTATGGAGATTCTCAGTCATCAGGATCATGGTTGTCCTAAAAGTGGATTTTTGAAAGGCAACTAGACTTACTTTGTTTTTCCTTGAAGACATTTTGCTTCTCTTCCAAGAAGCTTCTTCAGCTCCATAGTTGAAGCTTCTTGGATGAGAAGCAAAACTGAAGAAGCTTCTTGGATGAGAAGCGAAATGTTTTCAAGGAAAAACAAAGAAAGTCCTTTTGAAAAAGCACATTTGAGACCCGGGCAGATTCCTTGGGATAGGTTTCAAGTTGTAAAGAACTTCTTAAGTCATAACCAGCACATGGAATCAGACAGAAAATGTACCAGTAAGATTGTTTTAACATGGAATCCAAACATGGAATCCATGTTATTCCTTTAGCTAAGTTTAATCAATAGTTTGGACCAATTGTCTGAACTTCTAAACCCCTTGGTGGAGAATATTGTCCAACTTGGTTGTGATCAAAAGATATACATGCTAGCCAAATAACATTATAAAGGACAGATATATTAATATTATGTGAATGTGGAATGGAATCTTAGGGCTGAGCCAAGGAATCTTCAGGCTGTATATATAGCTCTCCAGCACAGATGATATCTCTAATCCTATTGCCTATTTTGTTTCGACTGTCCAAAATAAGTTTGTCTTTTCTGGATTAAGCTTCACGACATTCACAGTACTGAGCACCGATTTAGGATTTCAATATCCTCCTTGCAAGATGGAGATGGAGTACTAAAGTTATAGAAACCAGTATACATACAGCTAGTTGTCACTTAGCAGCTGTTCAAACTTATAATGGATCTTCTTAAAGCTACTTACAACCTTTTTTTGACATTCCATGTGGTTATGTGATCGCATTTTGGGTACTTGGCAACCAACTCACATTGATGACCGTTTGCAGCATCCCAAGAGCACATGACTATGATTTTTGGCATTTTTTCACTGATTTCCAGTGTTTGCTTCTGGTTTGCCGCAAAAAAAAATGCCCGTTGGTGAAAATTAATTTGCTTAGTGAGAGTGGTATTTGCTTAACAGCTACCACAAAAAAGGTTCTAAAATCACACATAGTCACGTGGTGATCTAGTTAACGACCACCACAACTTAATCATCATAATTCTGGGCTCAGTTACAGACATAAATTGAGGACTACCTGTAATGCCATTGAATATCTAAAATACAGAATATTTCCTAGCAGAATTAAAAATTCAATTAGGATAAAATGAATATTGTTATTGAGCCTTGGCACCATCTCTTGAAACCTGCTCCAAGAAAGAACAGACCCCTCATAAAACAGTGCTGTGAAGACTTATCCAATTATGATGTCATGGCCATTTTAAATAAAAAAAAAAGTCTGAGAAATCCAGCAAAATCAAAAGCAACATACACCCCTTGCTAGTTTGCAAATTAGATCATTCACCATGGTAACCAAAGCAATCTCTTTGTCATAAATATACCCGAAATTATGCTGTGTGTAATCTACCATATGCTTATACAGGAACATTTGAGACGGCCTAGAAATTAACCAGTACGAATTTCAAGAATTTCAATCCCTGGAATATATAGCAGGCTGAGATTCATGAGGGACATTTGTAGAAGTTCAGAAAGGGCAGGAATACCTCTCTCTCTCACACACACATACACACACGCATACAAACGGTGTGTGTATGTATGTGGTCTCTGTGTGTAAAAATACTTA